CAGGAGGGAAAAGGAGGAACCAAAAACAGTCCGAGAAAGAAAAAACCCATAAAATACTGTATATAATAACTGATATATTTGAAGTTCGATAAATTATTCTATTAAAAGCATTACAGCTGCAGTAAATCATAGCTTAAATCATCAGTTAATCATTTGTTTACTTATCACCTGTGTGTATTCCTGGCACAGGTGCGGGAGATCATATAAGTTTTCTTTCTAAGCTCAATGCAGACTTGCGGGAACGGTTACATAAAAACTATTTGCACCATAGGAATCAAATGGTGACCATATGTTACTCCATGAGACTCAGGACTAGACACTGAATGGACCATAACCATGACCTTGTCCTAACTTTGACTAGAGCAACTTCCTCTGCAACAAATTAATATGTTACAAACATGCAAAAATCACAGATGAGTCACAGATAAATCTTTGTTGGCTTTTTAACTGTCAGTTGTAAAGCTACTCCTTTCAAAGAACATCATACAGTGTTTTCTGGTTGTACAGTTACATGTCAATACAAAAGCATTTTACTAAATGCATATGGACAAAAATGATCATAAAAGGAAATAAACATGGAAAACCAGTCAGAACAACCCTCCTCACGACATGCACAAATCTGCAATCTGCACATGTACACACTCAAAATGAGGAAATGACATCCAAATCCAAAACTTCTATAATCAAGTACTTATGTAGGAAATGTGGCCTCGCCAAGTGTGGACTGATGCAATTAGTCAGGCTACACAATTTTTCAATCATTCAGAAATTGACACAAATGGTCCTAAAATCAGTCCAAATGCTCAGATCAAAATCCCCGAAACCATATAAAATAAAATAAATTAAAATCTATATTGAAAACTTCACTTTAGAAATCACTGCAAAGCATGTCATCCTCATAACAAGGTGGTGAACAATATGTCTGTAAAAGAAAGAAAAAGAGCCTGTAGTATGCAGAAGTAGCAAAGTCTGCACATTTCGACGGCAGCCAAACGGTGATGCCTGAATCGGTGCTGCAAAGATCATTCACATCATCACACATGAATGCAAATGGGCTCTATGGAACCACAAGAATCTCAAGTTTCCCTCCCTGTTTTAGTTATGCAAGGTCTGCAGCAATAAAGCAAAGATCTCACAGGTATTTTTATTTCACAATTTATCCAGCGTTACTGACATTCAGCATAAACATATGTCTCTGTGGGTACTGTAAATGCAGTGAAAGGAAATTGTCAGAATTCGGAACAGATAAAAATCTGTAATTCTTCTCAAACCATCAAAATAAGAGTCATTAACAATAGTTGTTTGGGTGCATGTTGTCTGCACTAACTGACTGGTGCACTTCAAAATAAAAGCAACTAAAACTGAGATTTACAGTTTCATAAAAGTAACTCCCCCCCC